AAAAGATTTTGCAATGTTGAAAACCGAGACGGTTAGAATAGGTCTGGGGGCTTGCTTGGTTTGGTTTGCAGCATGAGTCGCAGCTGTGCTCTTATGAGACACCTGAGTGCCACACCTGATGGACAGGCATTTGAATTCAGTGGCTGTTCTGTTCTTCCAAGGACCAGTGGCTCGATTCACTTGTGCTATCTCAGTATGATCTTCCGTAGGCAGCAATCCTTTCTGATCACTCATTGTGCCGTTACAAGCCTTGTGGTACCTTCTGTTTAACCAGCAAGGCAAATTGAAGGTCGAATGGGGCTCCCCTGCTTCTCTCCAGCTCTAAGAGAGGTGACAACCCTGGCATCTATCATGGGGTAGAAACTCTACTACTCTCAGCATGTTCCCATCTGAGCCTTCTACTCATCGTTAAGTAGATACTTAACCAGCATCTAGAAGAAGCCCCTACTTTGTCAGTGTAAAGCAACACCTCTGAGGGGTTTATCTATACCTATGCCCACAGCTCTACAGCAAAGGGGCTCAAGCAGCCCTTCATTTCAACCACCAATAATGCCAATGGCCTTCCAGCAGGAAGAGTGGGTGCAAGGGAGGATTTTCTTCTGGGCTTCACTAGAAGGATTTCGTATAAGTTTCCCCAAATCCTCTGCAAAGTCTCTGGGCAGCCTCAGGATATCTGAGGTGACCTCCCTGCCTTGCTCACCTCACTGAGCCTCTCTACTGCCCATGCCCCAGGCAGGGGCAGGAAGGCTTCTTGGCTCACTTTCCAGCAAGAAAATTATTAGGCTGAAATGCCCTGGCAGCCAGGTTAACTGCTGCTGTAAAACACTCCCTGTCATTTCAAATTGCCTTGGTATGTTTGTAGCTCTTGTCTCTCTGCTGTCACACACCACTGGACTCTTGGATTTTATCCCAACATTGATTTGTATTTGCACAGGGATGCGTTGTAAATGCACCTTACTCCAAGTTAAGTTTCTGCTTTGTCACCACAGTGAATGAAATTTTTCAAATTACATTTTTCTCATCTCTTTGCCTGTGATCTAGTGTTTTTCTATTCCTTGTTCTTTCCCAAAGCTGCCCCCATTAGAAGGCCTGAGTTCACTCAATGAAGCTGATGAACTGAATTTAAATACCTGTATGTTTTCACAGTGTTTAGATAATACTTCGAACCAGGAAAGTGTTTAGTGGTCTCTACAAGGTCAAGTTTGGCTTGTGGGGATGTTTTTTTCTCCGGCATCGTGACTGGCAAAGCACTTTGATTTTTACTAGCTGAGGGAATAAACTTCCTCCATGAGCTCCCTCTCACTCCTCTCCCCCTTATCACTCCTCTCCCCCTTTCTTGATGTTTTCTGTGTTTTTGCAATGTTCTGGTTTAGGTCACACATAAAGACAACTCCATGGCACTTAGCTGATTTAACCTGTCACAGGCACTTGTCATACTACCCCTGCTACGTCACAGATTTCTTGTCTCACCCAGACCTTCCTGATGTCCCACAGGCTGTAAGAAAACCATGAAGCTTGGTGTGAGGCCTTTGGTCCCACTCACTGGTGGTGCTCCATGGGAAATCTCTTCCTGCTGCCTTTAGGTACGATGTTTCCCTTAGGTTTCTTTTCACAGGATCAAAGTTATCCCTAAGAATTCACACAGTATGTGTATAGCACCACATATTTACCAGTTCAGTAAGTAAAGAGGGTGTTTGGTTTGCCTCCCAAGCACGTGAATGCCGCTGTTTTGCAGAGGCACAGGGAGGTACAAGGAAAGTCAGACAGGATTGTGCAGGGAGGCTACTGGAAAACTGGGAACTCAGCCCAGGTATCCTCAGTCTCAAGATGCCATCTAATCTATGCTTTGTTGGGAAAGCTTCCTGCAGTCCTTTGCAATCTCAGCTAAACCAAAAAACAAAACAAAAAAAAGGGGGCCATGTACTCCTAAACCACTCACATCACACAATTTTTTAAAATTTAATGTGTCCCCACTTTGTAAATAGATTTAAAAAATAACTCCCTCTTTATTTAAGCCTGAGTTTGGTTTTCTTTCACACACTTTGCTTCTGCCACGCCTCTCTCCATCATAGCAGCAGGGAGCACAAGAGCCTTCAACCATCAGCCAGTGTTGTCAGGCCCCTGTCAGCCCAGGGTGTCTATGGCAATGATGAGCACGTCATTACAGCTGGCCATCGTCATGGCAAACAGTGCTCTTAACGTGCAATAAAGCAAGTAAATAAAAAGGGGAAATTACTTTAAACTTTTCAGAGTGTTAACTACTTGTACTCCCTCGAAGGGATTTGAAACTGTAAATATTTTTTTACAAATCTTGTTTTTTCTTGCAATACTTGACAGTGCTGTGCAATATGCTTCCCCTTCTCCCTGAGCTGAATAAAATACCAAATCAAATAAAGCAGCCTGCCCCATCCTCCCTCTCCGGCAAGAGTTCATCTTCTGGACTTGGAGATTTCAGTATCCTTTTCCAAACAAATGGGATGGGTGAGGAAAACTGCGCATCAAATGAAGGAGAATTCTGCATGTTTAGCTGTTTACAAAGTTTTGTTTCATGGTCAAGTGAAAAGCTTCCCTTCCCACCGCCTGAGGAGCCTGATTACTGCAAGCGTGATGGGTGCCTGGGTGGGAGCTTGAGCTGGTTTCAGTAAACCCCCCAGTCCCACCAGTAACCAGGTACTGTAACCAGCTACCACTGCTGCGCATCATGAGTGCCTTTTCTGTGCTACAAATAAGAGGACGCGTCTGCTTTCTCTGTGTTTATTGCGTTACACTGAAGCAAAACGGCATGTGGTTATTTGCAGTTATTAGCTGATTGTTTCACCACATCTAAGGGATGCAAGGAAAAGCAATTAAATAGTTCAGGACTCATTACTGCTGAAGGGAGGCTCAGGCCGTGTGAGAGGACAGGATGAAGGCAGCACCATAGGCTGAGCCGAGCCTGCCACGCCGCCCACTCAGCGAGGCAGCGACCTCCCTCAGCTGGATGCGTTTGGAGTAGCACAAGAGCTAGTGAGCTCGCAACTATTGCCCTCTCCTGGGTACACAGCCAGAGTCATTTTCTGGGAGTAGCACCATGAAATCCACATGCTGGAGATGTTCATCCCTGGCCAGAGGGACCGCAGTGGTGACCACATTCAGTGTCGCCATCCCTTGCGCTGAAAGCTGCTCCGAGAAACCTCTTCCAAGGTTGGGGAATGCCTCTGGCTCATGCAGGATGGGACTTTCCCCGTGTCTTTCTCAGATGTTAGTCTTTCTCATATATCACTCTTCCTATTTTTTTAGTTCAAACACAAAACAACACCTGTGCCTCTTAAATAATGACCTCTACAAAGTCCCTGGAGATGCTTCAGAATGGTCTCCTGCTTGTCATTCACAAGGATAGAGAGGTGGTAGCTGAGATAAAGAGCTGCTGGTGCCTCTCTGGGCTGGTGCTGCCAGGAGGAGCAACTCTTTCTCTCAGGAGTAGCAAGCATGGAGTCATCATCTTAAAATGTAGTCTTCAAGGACAGTGGCCAGAGGAACCCACCTGGACCACTGAAACTGCAAAGCACATCAGGATTTGTTGGTTGGCTTTGATGTATCTGCGGATTTTATTTAGCTGTAGAAACTCAGTTTGCTAAGGAAATTATTGACACTGATATCTACATTATATAAGCCTTTTTCTTGCTTTTTTTTTACTTTTTCATTCTTCCAACTGAGGCTGGAGGTCCAAAAGCAGCAAATCAGTGCTGGCAAGATGTTTGAAGAGCCTGGAGGTTGCACATCCTCACCAACCCGCCTCTTTGTAGACATTGTTCAGGTGAGTGCAGATTTCATTGGTCACCTTCTCAAAGGAAGATTTGCAGTCTCCTCCAAATTTCTCCTCCATCACTTGCAAGATAATGTCACAAATAATCTAAACAAGGAGAAGGGAAGAAAAAAACCACCACATGAACTTTCCTCCACATTAGAGGCATAAGAACAACCCACATATTTTCAGTTGGGATTCCTGGAGGCCGGAGAGGTACACAAGAACAATTAAGAAGCATGTAGCATGCAGAGCTTGTGATAGGTCATGGAAAATTAGGTGCGTAATAGAATTCACCAACAAATGCAGTCACTGCTGCTGGTTTTTTTTAACTGTATCTAATTAATGTTGACTGCACCCATCACTTGAAGATGACTGCACAGGACCAGTTCACTTGGGCCATCTACTGCAATCCTTTGCCTGGCAGTGGACTGTCCCAAAGGGGACAAGGAGCCCTGTGTTGGACACCTATGGAATACATGGCTTGAGGGGCCTGGGATTTCTTCCTAATCTTTCCTGCTTGTTAGCTATCTAGCACTCTGTAGCAATGAGGGTTTGTTTGTCTTTATAGTTGCTAGGTAGGTGGTATACTTTGAAATGTCATCTCCTTTTCTGTGCAGCGTTATTTTGTGTGCGTCTTTACCCTGAAAAGGTCTCCTCAAGATCTCTCCAGGCAGAAATCCTCCCTTTTTCTCCCATTTATCAAAAATTGGGCCCACTGCTTTAGAAATCACCTTCCGAGTACCTGAGTGACTCTTGCCAAAAGGTGCCTGTTTTTGCATTCTGTGCTGTGTAAGGCAGAAAAAAGTAGCTATAAATGCACGCTGCTGGTGACCTTAGGTGGACTTGAGCAAGTCATTTGGTCCTGTACTTATTGTCTGTGTTTGTTTAGTGATGGCAATGCTGTTGCCATTCTTGCTCAATAACAGCTGGTTTAATTGTCCTAGAAAAGCTCAGTTCCTGTTACTAGAGAAAAATAGATATCAAGGACTGAAGTCCAGTGTTAAGCTGCTTTTCTGTGTCTTGTTGTGAAAAGACAAGTGCAGGAATCCTGTTGCACTGAGAAAACCCAACTACAACTCATGGGCAGCTCTGCAGCTCCCGCCTGAGCAGACCTGCCTGCATGGCATCTGCTGCCTAGCCTTCTTCCCAACAGATGCCAGATCTCTCATTCCCACGGTCTTCCACCATCAACTGTCTCACCTTCCTCTGTCTCCACTCTCTGAAGCACATATATATGTATAAACACACAAGGCCTGTTTTCCTCAGTTCTAGCCCTCAAAGGGGAAGGCATCCTCCCATCACAATTACAACCCCTAGGAAGAGGGCTGCCAACTCACCCTAAAGTTTTTGGGGTCAATCTTAAGCTGGGTGGCATGTTTCTTGCCAAGTGGGTTCACTATCCCAAGAAAAGCCTCGGAGTTGTCCAGGTGTTGCACCATGTCATTGATGGCGGTGAAAACCCTCTTGCCGTGGCCCCTGACCTGATCCGACTGTTTCATCTCTTCAGCAGAGTCCATGCCTTTGAAGTGTGCGAAGTAGGACTTGGTGTCTGGGTGCTCAGTAAACATCCTGTTGAGAAATGAGAGATATCCAAATTTGTGGATGGAGACATCGATGCAGATACAGCTTCATGTTCCAGGCCTTGTCTTAGGCATTTATTGCCCTTTTTACTTCTCTTTCTTAGAAAAGACACCTCTTTCCCCTGCAATTCTTGGTTCTCCTTTGCCTTTCGCATCTGTGCACAGCCCCTGTGCCCATGGCAGCCCGTCTCTTCCCTTGCCTCCCCCTGGGGCACTTCCCTTTGGTCACTCTGCCTTAAAACCTTCCTATCCTGAATTTATTCTGCTGCTTCTAAACTAAATATTTCCTCAGTGTTTACTCAGTGTTAGGTGGAGATAAAATCCACAGAGAAGTGGCATTTCATTCACACGGCGTGAGTGTGACAGTGCAATATCCCCAAAGACGTTCTGGACACCAGATATGTCTGCTGTGCTCTCAGTGGGTGTTTTCATGGAAAAACCCGATTACTGTTTTTGTTAATTAATTCCTTCCTAGAGTCCATCCCAAAGCTTTCTTGCTGTCTGTGATGGGTTTTTTTGTTTGGGTACTGGGTACTGCTTATTTCATTTATTTAACAGTAACACAATTCAATGCCACTTGTAAAGGAATTGCCATTTATAATACATCAATTACAGTCATCTTGGTCAAGCTCATAAAAAAAAGCAATTTACTCCATTGGGTAAACCAGTTATCCACCTGAAGTAGCAATAGCAAATTCCAGATTGCATTTCATGGAGTTGCAGAATGGTTGAGCTTGAAGAGACCTCTGGAGGTCATCTGGTCCAACCACCCTGGTCAGGCTGGTTGCCCAGGGCCATGTCCAGACAGCTTTTGGATATCTCCAAGGATGGAGACACTGCAACATCTCCAGGCAACCTGTGCCAGTGCTCAGTCACCCTCACAGTGAAAGAAGTGTTTCCTGATGTTCAGAGGGAGTCTCCAGTTTTTCAGTATGTGCCCATTGCCTCTGATCTTGTCACTGGGCACCACTGAGAAGAGCCTGGCTCCGCCTTCTTTGCATTCTCCCTTCAGATATTTATACACATTGACAAGATCCCCCTAAGCATTCTCTTCTCCAGGCTGAACAGTCCCAGCTCTCTCAATCTCTCCTCATGGGAGAGATGCTTCAGTCCCCTCATCATCTTTGTGGCCTTTCATTGTACTCTTTCCAGTATGTCCATGTCTGTCTTGTACTGAGGAGCCCAGAACTTCTCTAAAGGCATGGCTGGGGCTGTAGGACACTAAGGCAAAACCTTCTACAATAAATTACCCTGGGGAGCCAAGCCACTAGATGCTACCAGCATTTTTTAGCTGCATTTCTGACCCTAACTGTCCTCAGGTTGTATAGACTGCAGAAGGAAAAAGCAGTGCATAACAGTTTTTGACGCTGATCCATGCACAAGATGTGGTATACAAGAAAGCCAGATGGAGTCATAAAGATATGATAACCAGAAATAGTACTTGGGCTGATCAATGCGTACAGAGGTGATGTAAGTCCCAGCTGAGAGGGATATGTGAAAGGTGAATAGAAGAAACTTCGGTTTTATGGAATAAGAAGAGGAAAACAGAACGAGAACTAAGAGCAGGAAGCCCACAAGAAGGGTATGGTACAATGAAACAGATGGGCTCTGGACTGGAAAGGCTGAAGGAGAATCAGAAGAGAAATATCAAGGACATGCAAGTTAAAAAAAAAAATCATTTAGAGGAAGAGAGGAAGAGGGAAATAGGGCCCGTGTTTTGTTCTCATTCTCTTTCATACCACACTTTCTTTTCTTTACCGTAAATGGGTGAAAAATTTGTTCTCATCTCTTCTTACTTTCCCACCCCTTCCCCCTTTCCTTTTACTTTTATTTGTATGGATCATTCCTCTTCCCCATTTCCTCCCTGATGTGGGATGAACCACAGCAAATCAAAATGTTCCCAGCAAGGGCTGCATGAAAAACATCAAGATGTGCTCCTAGGTGGTAACTCCATCCTTCTTACTGTTCCTCCTTCAACCCTCTGGGGCAGTAGCTGCATGGGCTCTTTTCTTACCTGACCAGCACAGTTGTCCCATTGTCCTCAGCATCCACATACATCTTCTCCCAGGCGCCACGGGCACTTTGCACCTCTGCTTCAGAGAACGACATGGTGGAGGAGGCGTTAGTAACAAAGAGCACAGCAGGAGGGAAGGGGACAGGGAGGTCCTGGCAGGGTGGTTCTGTTCCAGTTCTCTCCTCGGGGCTCTCTAAATACTGCCCCGGGGATTTAAGAGATCTTGAATGGACCCTTTGTCTCCATTCCCCTCGGTCACATTTCTGCAGGCTTTAAGACTGCCTAATCACTTTTAATCAGGAAAGAAACCAACCACATGAGGAGGGAGGACTAGCACTCTCGCCGTGGCATCAGGTGCCAGAGTAAAGGTCTCACTGTCTGAGGACAGACAGGAAAAAAGGGAGTTTTCAGAGGGGAAGAAAAACATCAGCTCTCTTCCCCCCTCCCCCTTGCCGAGGCCAGTGCTCGGCTTCTCTTTCCCAAGGGCAATCCTTGCCCGAGCACTAATTTTCCTGGTTTGTTCACAAGAGCACTGCCATGCTGCCCTACCATCCACTCTTCCCAGCACTTCTTGTTCCTTCAGTCCAAAGATCCCATTTCCAGCTTCAGCAACTCTCTCCAGTTCTGCTTTCATGCCGCGGTCACTGATTTCCCCACAGCCCTCTGGTTTAGCAGGGGCTCACCCCACAGCTGCTCCCGGCCCCAGTGCTGAGTGGATGGGAGGCATTGCCAGTCCAAAATGACAGCGTTGTGGGGACGGTGACAACAGCACGGGCACAGCATCCATGGCTGCAGTGCCCTGGAAGGCCACCTCATTTTAACACAGGAGATAAATAGTGCAGGACAGCCAAGGCTGGGAGCACAGGCACTTCACTACCCAACCCTCCTGGCTTGCAGCTGGGATCTCTGTCCTATCCCTAAGCCCTGCCTGCCTGGGAGGGAGAAAGAGATAAGGGGCAGGAGAAGGGCCAGTGTGGAGCTGCAGAAGTCACCTATGAGCCTGTTATTGTCATGGTCATTTGGAATTAGAGGCAAAAAATCTTGGATTATCCACACGGCGCCTGGACTTAATCTCTGGCAGGAATGTTCTGGTTAAGTCCAGGGCACACACACAAAATAAGGGCTAAGGGGCTTGAAGAACTGCTGCTGGTGGTGGATGCCGAGCGCAGACAAAACCTTGTATTGTTTGGGATGGTTTAGAGGAGGGAAGGAAGAGGTGGGAGGGGGAAATGTGCGGCGCGGCGAGCAAAACCGGCCCGATACCCCAGGGCAGAAGGAAAGTAGTGGTTGCAGCCTCATGGAGACCAATCAATCTTGGTAGGGTTATGTCCCACTGCTGCTGAGGGATGCCTCAAATGACTTCACTGAAAATACCCCCTCCTCTTCCCTCCCTCTCCCTTTTCACCACAGCAAAGAGTGGTCTGAAAGCTGCAGAGCCTTCTGCTTTCTCATCCCAAAATCCTCAGAAAAATGTTCCAGATTTCAGGAGAGCCCAGGGGAGGAACACCGTGCTGCTGGGACTGCTGCCTCTTGGAAGGCAAACACAAACCAGGGAAGCGCCAGTCGGCCAAGCCCAGACGCCAGCACAGGGATGCAGAGGAAGGAGCGAGGATGGCACCACAGGAGCTGGTGGTTCCCAGGCCTTGGGAGCCAAAACCACCAGGCAGGAGCTCAGTGGGGAAAGCATCAAGTTTTTGGCCAAGAGCAGAACATGCATCAGGTGTTTGCCATGGTTGGCCTGTGAGAGAGAGAGAGCTCATGAAGAAAGAGTGGCACCACCTTTAGCCAAAGGGAAAGGGGCTCGGGCAGGTTCGGCGCATGGAGGTACAGCTGGTTTTTTTTGGAATGTGAATGTGTACAATTACTTGCTTGCAAATTCTCCACCTCTCTGTAGGTGTCATGTTCTCCTCGCAGATCCTGGTGCACTGTGACTTGCTGTGGACGCTTCTGGGTGGGAGAAGCTGGAGTGCTGTGGTGAGCCTGGCACTCTGACCTGAGCTGTGGTAGCAATGCACATTGCTCAAGGATGAGTCTTCCCTCTTAGCTTTCTTAGTCTTTTCCTCTTCATCTCCCTTGTTCACCATTTCCCTCTCCTTTGTTTTTTGTTTGCAACAGTTCACAGGCAAACAACAGCTTCCGTAGGGGACTTCTCCTCTGCCCTCCCCAACCTCGTCTGGGACGTTGCAGGTGCTCATTCACTCGATATAAGGTCAGACAACCTGTTGTGGGCCAAAAAAATACCCGTTTTGCGTTGGGAAATTTCAATCAAAATACTTTATTGCCAAGTAACTGTTGTGCTACAAGTAAGGATGTGACGTTTGCCTGTCAGAGTCCTCACAGGGACCTTTCACTGAAATGTTTTTGCAAAGTTACAAATACAGGTTATTAAGGCGAGAGATACAAGAAGTACGGAGTTGCTGTTGACAAATGCACTTACTGCAATAGCACTAATGTACTATAATAATGCTGGCCAAGTGTTCCCAGGTATTCTTCGCCAGGAGCGAAGGCACAGTTCTTACCAAGAAGGTGTCCCTATCTTGGATGGAGGAAGAGGAGCACAGCCCATTGACCGTCTCTTCTGATCCTCAGTCCCTTGCTCCCAATTTTTACCTTTTCTTCTTCTCTTTTTATTCTCCAACTCTTTATTTTCCCTCCCACAGGTTACATGTAGCATGATTTAGGCAAAGAGTTGAGTGACATAGTCATATATGTATAGAATTAAGCAAGGGTATTAACTGTAATATTGATTTTCTGTATAATTAAGCAAAAGTTTCACTCCAGGGCATCGTAGCCTTCAGGGTTTTGTGCTGAAACAGTTTTCTGCACTCTTTAGCTAAAACAGAGCCGTCTTGCCACCGCAAGGCTCCCTCTTTCGGCTGTAATCTCCCCTCGCAAGCTTTGTGGAACCGAGAAGCAGATACCATCATTCTTATCCTTTTGCTGTTTTTTGCCAGATGAGCAAGTTGCTCAGCTCTCGTCCTTGCTCTGTCCAGGCCACGATAAACACCTTGCTTTACTTTGCTTAAGTCAAACCTTACCAGCCTAGCATTTCTGTACAGTAATAAACCAACCAACACCAAGACACCTCTCTTTTCCCACCCCCCATCCTGGTCCCCCACCCCTGTGCCACAGGTTACACCCAGGCATTTTGGTGAGCAGGAGCTGGAGGTTGGTGTGTGTGAGTCCCTTTGCTCTTGCTGCTCTTTCTGTCCTACTCAACTGCTCCAGCAGGGGCTCTTCCACCGGTCACTGTCCCTTCAGGTGCTGTACCTGCCCTGGCCTTGTCTTTCCTTTTTCAGCATTCACTGCCCTTTCTTAAATGTGTTTCCACAAAGGCATCATAAACTCTGTTGGTCCAGTTCTGGGGTGCAATGGGTCGATTTTTCTGGTGCCAAGCCCGCTGTGGGCAGCACAGGGCAGTCCCTGACCTCCTCCTGCACAGACAAAACAAGCAATGACACCCTCAAGCATGTCACCATGCTATCTGTGACATGCTTTTCTATTCTTTCCTTTGACCTTCTGGTGTTACTTTTACGGTTTTGGAAAATTATCTTCTACTTTCCCCCTGCGTGATTTGCGGAGGCCTTGTACGACGAACACAGCAATACCTCATAAAGTTTTGGCCTCTATAACAGGGTTATACACATCTATACTACACCTCAGGATTCTCTAGAGATTTTTTTGGCCTTGCAATGGAATAGCTGTGAAAAATGTGCTGTTTAATCATAAAGTCATCATGTCGTTGCCAGCACTTATCCCCCCCACCACCCCAGGGGAAGAGGATGAGTGCTTGGTTTATTTCTTTTTCCTTCCCCATGGTTTGTTTTGATTAATATCCCAAAGGAAGTGAACACTCTTAAGTGTAATTTCTGCTGAATGGTGAGAAATATTTTGTAACGGGGATACTGGGCAGCACTGCAGAGACAGCCTTGGCCACGGATGGGATGCTCCTCAGCAGGCAGGGTCAGGCTGGGGGTCAGAGGGTGCAGGGAAATCCCGAGCAGGGAGCACAGCCACAGTATTTTGGGCTGTGTGTGGCAGCCAAGCTTGTCCTGGCTCTGTCCCCACCCAGGAAAGCAGAAGATGTGCCTCCCGCTGCGGCGCAGGGAAGCGGCGGCAGTTCTGCGAAGTGGGGCTTGTTTCCTTTTGGTTTCCCAGAAACCATGTGCTTTAGGCAGAAGGCAGCTGGCAAGCTCCAGTGACAGAAACAGACAGCATCTTCTACCCGCCCAGCTATTTAGGATCCAGCAGTGATGGCTGCCTGCAGAGCTCATTGATGCCCCAGTCACAGGCACTGCAAAGCTGCCCATGTTTTCTTCTCCTTGCAAGTTTGTGATCTGTTGTTTAAGTTTCATGTTTAACATAAATAAACCACCTTATTTATTACGCAACAGGGGTTAATCCCCGGCTCAGCAGACACGCCTGTTGTAGAGGATGGCTGGAAAGGAGTCAGCAGCCATTACTCTTATTTTGCCAACACCCCCCATACTGTCAGACTGAGGTTAGAGCACCCCACAGCAGGTATTGCCAGGTTTCTCAGATGCTTAGCTTGAGAAGGTGGCACTCAGTGCTGTTTTACAGAGATTACAACCAACTGCATCTTCTCCATGCTCGGCATCTGAGGTTATATCATTACCAGCTCATCAAAATAAGCAGAATTAGGAGCTGCCATCACGACTGTTGGTGTCAATGTCTGAATGCCAAAGCCCACATAGCACATGGCTGGGAAAGACCTGGGGCAGACACACACAGCTTTCCCAGCTGCCACCAGCCTGCATTTCTCTCTCCCGTTCAGTGAGCGGTAGTGGGCTCAGGTGGAGCTGTGTTGCACTTCGCACCAGTGAAAGTACAAAGTCTGACGGGTAAGAAAAAGGCAGGAGTACTCAGCTTCTTGGGACCCAGCCACTCAGAATGGCCCTCAGGCAGCTTACAGAGCAGTACCATCTGACAAGACAGAAATGCACACAGGTTTCTGTTGTGAATACATTTGTTGCCCAACTAAGATTTTAAATCTGAAAACAGAGGCAATGTATTCAAACTAGTTCAGCTTTTATACATTATAGAGCATAGTATATATATAGATTAATCCTCTGAATGCTGCTTTAGTGATCGACAGCATTAAGTACATGGCTAGCAGTGATTCTAACACAGTCATTACAACTAATAAAGATGCCAGCACTGAGTTTTCATGCAGTGTACCCAGTTACTCAAGTGTTTGCATTGGGACAGGCTGGTGTTCAGCA